CGCCTGCGGCGCGATAGCTCGCGCCTTCGGCGCTTCATGCGGGAAAATTTTCAATCAAAATCTCGTCATCCCATACGAAATTTCACTCTCTATGAATTCACGCCGGGGAGGCCTAGGAAAATTTTTGAGCCGGGGAGGCCTAGGAAAATTTTTTTGACCTGGGGGGAGGGCCTAGGAAAAATTTTTTTACGCTACCCCCGGACGACCGGCCCCCCCTCCCCGGTAAATATCGTACAGTCCCTAAGCTTGTTTCACCCCCACATTGTTCCTGTCGATAAGATTGATGTAAACTGTAAACATCTGTTTCGCCCCACGGCAAGTCACTGAATAACCGGCGTCTATTTCGGGTACCTAGCCATTAAACTTGACGTTTATGTTCCTCACGGCAGAAAATACGCGCTAAAAGCATTTTCTAATACCGCTGATCAATAAATGTCTGCGGTCACAAGGTAGACAGAGGCACTGTACGTATCAAAACGTCGCACATCATTTCTATTGGCTTCCTCGTAGTAAAACGTGCCAGAGAGTTGCGCCACCATGGTGGTGGAGGTGGCCGGCGGCGTGGTCTGTCCCAGCAGGCGGGTACGGCGATGGTACGTCAGCCGTTCCGTCCGCCATTTTGCAACGTTCGGTGTCGTTCTAACACTCCTAGTGGGGCTACAGCTTCGATTCTTCAAGAAGTCTAACCCCCGGGAGTACACGGGCGGGAGGCACGGCAAGACCCGGCGCGAAGACGGCGAGTTCACGGTACAGGTTCTACGAGATGCGCCGGATCTCAAGTGCAAAGTCAGGTACCCGCTACACGTCTCCGTCATGACCTCGCGGAACAGACTGCCCACGTTCGCGTCAGCCGCGCACAGCACCTGGGCCAGACAGAACCGTGAGCAGGCGTCTGTGGAATTTTTCCTCCCGAAATCAGCCGAACAGACGACAACCGGCAAGCAGAGGCGCCGACATGGGCTTGGGCTGCCAGCGGCAGTCGTCCTGAGTGATGAGTCCACACTTGTAGATGTGCCGATACTGCGGTACTTGTGTAAGTGGCGGGAAGACGACTTTGACTGGTTCCTAGTGACGGATGACCAGGCTTACGTTCGGCTGGACTCCGTTATAGATTTTCTCCGACAGGTGGACAAGACGGAAGCGGTATGTACTATGTACGCTTCTTTATATGAATAGGAATAGACAGATGAGATTTTTCTAAAATGAAAAACATGATGGAAAGAGATGAAAAAAGCGCTGATTGTACGTAATGTCTGCAATATCTAATTCTATCAACTCTAGGATTACATTACGGTTTCAAGAAAGGAACTAAATCATGTATGAAGGAAGCTTTGTGAATGGCGAGGTCAAAGTTGCGTTACGATAATCATATAGATCTCACTTGAAATTGCGCTCTCTGTGTTCTTGCTAAACTCAATATTCATGCTTCTCCGAGCATGCTTCTAACGCTATAAGCTCCCACGACTTTCTCGATGATTGAATCTCCACAGAATCTCCACATGAGTGATCGAACACTCAGTCTCTCCTCCTGTTCCACGCCATATATGGAGGTCCGCGTCAGGTAGAGGTAACCCCGGGTCAGAAGACTGTCCCCAGTGCGTCTGTTGTACAACCGACAGGCTCAGTGTACTTGGCAGGGTCATGTCCTTACATCCTGGGCGCGAACATGGATAGAGATTCGACCGTTATAACACCTTTTCAGGCCTCCCTGTCTCCCTTCGTAAAAAAGAAGTTCGGTAAAGATTTATCCTGAGTGTAGGCGCCGTCCCAGACTAACAAGTTATACCGAGAGAATTTGATAAGACTTTTAGGCGCAATTACTAAAAAAATTAGGTCCGTATTTGCATAATTGGTATCTGGTGATATTCAACCTGCCATAGATTATAAACATTACATGTATCAAATATCATACCAAATATCATTACAACCCATCCAAAGGTTCAAAAGTTATGTTGGCCGGAAATGTCCGGAAACACAAACGCACAGACAGACAGACAGACACACAGACAGACACACGGACAGGCCCGCCAAAAACAATACCTCAATTTTTCATGGAGGTAATTAACATTTTCCTGTAAAGAAATAGGAGAATCTCAAATACGCAGACATCGCATATTGAAAAACGTGTCATTGTCAATTTGGACAGCAGTATGAAAACATGCTTCAGGTAACGATTGTAAAGAGAACCAATAGTCACACGTCTTGCACAGCTAGGCCTATATTCACTGGTCAGGCTCGCTGAACTTGACACACGGTTTAAAAAATTACAGTTGACATCGTTTTACAAGAGACAAGAGCCCACTTGATTAGAATCTCTCTCATACGCCACAGCAAGTAAATTCTATGGATGACAATCCTCTGCAGACTTCAAATCTAATGTGATAGGGCGAGAAAAAAAAAACAAAGCGGGCCCCAAAAATAAGGTTTCTACATTTTCAAATTTTGACGTCATAAACCTTGATAAACAAGAAATGATACCTATATTGTGCTATGTTTACTGCCAACTATTACATCATCCATTTGTCACTGAAGAATAAAAGTTTTCAATCATATTGTACAAATGGTTTTGATTCAGTGAACACCACATATAAAAGGAATGAAATGCATCACTGCACCAAAGTAAAAGACAAAACAATGATCAGAGCCTTGTCTTGTCTCCTCTCTTCATATTTATCTGCCATCCACATTCCGGAATGGCAACAGGCATGTTTGCCTATTTTCGGCATGTTGACCACTGACAGAGGGCAACTGTTTTTTTTTCAAAATCAGGCGAAAATTAATACGCGCGCTGATGTCATCCATAAAATCATTTCTGAGGCCTAATATACATATACAAACAAGGTTCCTCATGATCACTCTATTGCAAGACATAAACTACTAGTAACTACAGGGCTTTTGGGGTACATGATATGGACGTATGGACATGTAGTAGGTCTGAGTATCGATTCATTACCAGTTTCTGTGGAACTTAAGTTATAAGGTCATTAATTTACCCAATAAGCCTAATGAAAAGCACTTAGCTGATATTGCAGCGTACTTTACTCTTGATTGAGGCATTGACGGAATTTTTGGACGACACTCGTCTCATAAATTGAAATGTTATCGACAGAAGTACAATTGTATGGAATATGATACGCGTACTAGTATTTCGCATATACCATTGATTTTATCAGAAATATGGATTTTAAAAGATGCTAAAATGCTTGATTAGACTTCCCAACTCGTTTCGGTATAGTCATGTTTCCCTCAGAGACTTCCTGCAAATTCCAGTGTAGATAATATAACATATCTGGAAACCCTTTATTTTAGTGTGTCAGATCTTACAATACAATACAACGGTTTGGCTGAAACGCGAAACGAACAACAATGGTATGGTATAATGTCAGGAGTCTACCGTATGTACATCCAGCATAATAAGGCTTATCCTAAACTTCATAATCATTAGTCTTACAGGTAAAATTAGCGACAAAATGATCACATCATGCTGAGAACTTTCTTAAGGGTTAATCACTAATAATTGTACAATGTATTATCTTTCACTTACAATCAGTCATGTTGAAAATGAACACGCAGTACATACACTGAAACCCATGTTGACAAACTCGTACGTAGAATATATGATTGTGCTCAGAGCAAGTTCGCGATCCTGAAGTTGATATACGGCGACTTTCGTCAGGCAGTGCGTGTGATTCATTCATCATCGATTTTTCCGTGGAGTGCCCTGGCCCCCGAGGTACCGACACTCCGACCCGGACGTACTTATATCTCCAATATCAGACAATCTGCCGAATGTCCTGACCCGTATGATACAGTATCTGTGACCCTGACGTCTCCGTATGATCCCAAATATCTCCGATTCCCGATAATCTGTCAGATATGTTGCCCCCGTAAGACACACAGTCCATGACCCGGGCGTCCCCGTGTGATGCTATTTCAGATACTTTTGAGCCGGCAGGGCGAGGCGTTCGGATTTGAAAGACTGTTTCACACAGAATATTACATAATATGTTGAAATAGAGCAGTAGATTCGCGATAAGCTGTCAGATATGCTGTCCCCGTAAGATACAGTGTTGTGGATGGAACCTGAGGCTATCTGTGTCTGAGTAAGCACAAAAATAAAGTACCCCTGGCCGTGTGGCCAGGGCCAGTCTGGAGCGTACACTCGTTGAGTCAAGACCACTGTACCTCGGCACACTACAATTGGTGGCAGCGGTGGGATACCTCTGTATCTCGGCACGCTACAACAGAATCCCTGACCCGGGCGTCCCCGTGTTTCAGGTACTTTTGAGCCGGCAGGGGGAGGCGTTTGTGTCCGAGCTGACCTGGGAGCGCTGCGGGACGGGCGACGCTGACGACGTGCCGCTGACGTCACTCATGGCGGCCAGCGTCACGGTGTACAGTGGGTCTGCGGTCAGAGGTGACGCTATGTTTACTAAGAAAATTGACTGAGCTGTTTTATGATTTGCATTCTGTTCGCATTTTGGTACATGTATATCCTTTTATTGTTATTCTTTGGCATTATTGTGATTATTGTACTGATACATACGACTTTATTATACTGTCACTTTTGTGACTCTACCGCAATTCATTTTCATTTACATTTTTTCAGATATTTGTTTACTTTGTTTATATTGTTTTTATGGGTACTTCTTAAAACCTAAAATAAAGAATAAAGAAAGAAAAGAAAGGATACACTTACATTACAGCACCGCGAGGCCTGAGCGTGAAGCACATTTCAATGAGAATGCTTTAAAGACAGTGTTGGGAGGGAAAACTAGAACTAGAACTGATATATTGCAAGTTTTATTACTTGGTAATTTCACAGTTAAGCATTTTATTGAAGCGTTCGCCTCGAGTGTGCTTACATGAAAAAGTGTAGTCTTTACTGCAAGGAGGTTCAAACCTCCTTGGTTACCGCATCGATATATCTTTAGCTACAGGCCTGTTTCCTGTTCCCGTCTCCATATATGTCGATCTTTCATATCTACAAAATCTCTCTTTTTCATTGCGTAAATAAATCATACCCTGTTGCTGTTCGAGTGCAAATCGGTAGGGGACGCTTAATGGTCAGATCAAACAACATCGATTCCCACATGGCGTGGTTTATAATCAAATTAAAAGGGGAATCAAATGTCCAAAAGCGCACGCATCTGAAATCGGTACCAAACATGAAACGCCTGTACTGTTACTGGAATATCTCTCACCATTTCCATTTTTTAGCTTCAGCTAGATTTCATTTTGTTTCGCCCATCTCATTGTTGTGAATCTGTAGTTTAAGTTTACAACCACTTAACTGTTATTGTCGTAAGGCTGTAGTTTTAAGTTGTGTAACCACTTTTTTTGCCGTGAATTGAATCTGAAAGTTTTGTAACTACTTACTATTATTGTAAATCTGTATTTGAAGTTCTTGTAATGTATTAATGGTGCTATGATGTATTGCCATCGTGCAAAAGAAGTCATCTCGTCACTCCTCCTGTGGAAACCACATGGCAAGACTCACTCCAGAAAACTCACATATCCAGCTACTCTCACAAGGGACACAGGATTACAACAACAAGACCTTCCAGCTGCAATGGAAGATCGTACTCGACAGATGATGATGATGATGATGATGTATTGTTTCTGATGTGGTTGTGTGAAGAAACATTCTTTAAAAATTTTTTCATTTTTTCGTACAGGTATCTGTTCTGCCGTGGAAGGGTGCCTGTATGATTTAAACGACGGTCCATTATACCTGACACAGTGCCTGTCCAGCTACACGGTCACCATGTGTCAGGACCAGAGGGAGCAGGTCTGTAGTGTACACAAACCTAGAAGTACTTTTGCAGACATCTTTCCACTTAAAGGGGCACTATGTAACATTTTTGCACCAAAAAGTGAAATATTTTGTTCAAAGAAATATTCTTGTAATGGTACTTTACTCTCTCTTTTCAACATATTTGTGCAACAATCTTACATTTCTGACATTTATGGTTGGCGATAAAAAAAGCCCACGTACAAAATGTAAGGCGCACTCAGTTTTTGGTGTCACCACAAACTACCAGAATGTAAACATGTAAACATGGCTGACAGCTGTACATGTGTTTCAAACCTTTAAACACACTCGTAAGGCGTCATATTTGGCATCTACACTTCCTAAATGACGACATGTACACGTATTTGCAATGAAGTAGGGTTGGTCCAACTTACCTAGTAAAGAAGTGACATGAAAATGTACTTTTGTTATCGCCCTGAAGTTGCATAATGCAGTGTGAAGAATGTACGTAAGTTAACTGTTACTAATCAGAACACACCCATTACGGTTTGTGACGGAAAGCCATTGTACTAAAAACGCCCTTCCCTCCTTTCTTTCTGTTTTGTCTTTAATCATTTACTCTCATTTCTTCCTTTTCTATTACTTTTCCTTCCCTATTCTCGTTTTTCTGCCGTTTGGTTCTTTCACTCCAACTCTCCCGAACGCCTTAACCCCTGTTCTGCTGGCATTTTTTACCCAATATTTTAAAATTATTTGATGTCTTAATCAGGTTTACCGTTAAATGCCCTTGACTTTTTTGTCCTATGGTGGTGTAGTTAGTTCTGCATATGTACGTAATATTTCGGAGAGATATTAATCTCCAAGCATATCTTTGAGTGGCTGCAATATACTAGTACCCAGAGATCGTACATATACAGGGTGCCATATAGATGGTACTGTATGTGCAACCCATATATATGTGGGCTCCGCAGGACAAGGGTTTTAAATTAAGACTGAAATCCAGCCGTGAACGCTGTGATCCGTGATATCTTCTGCCTTTCTGAGAAGTTCAGGATTGCATATTAGGTCAACCATGCAGATCATAGTACGTACTTTCACATTTGACCAGAATTCCCCTGTTTTCCACCAGTACTCCCACCTGTTCTACGAAGACACACCTCCAACATCCGGTCCAACCAACAACGTCACATCCGGTCCAACTCTGCCGCCAGGATTCGTCGATGCTATGAAGAACCGTGACGTCACGAAAGCCCTCACCCTCTCTCCCATGCGATCTCCAGACGACATCTACAGACTCCATCAACACTTTCAACGAATCGACTTCTAACATTAAAATCATACATACTTAACGAAAAAAAAGAGATTTTAACACCTTTAATCCAACAAGACCAAAATCTACCTACGGTTGCGTTTTATAATATGTTGCAGCTACTTCTTCATGTGCAAAAAGTAATACAATTATACCAGCTATACAAAGTAAAAATTATTCTTTTATATAACATATAATTATCAAAGCAACACAGGGGACATTAGTAAGCTATTCCCTGTGGCCTCTTGTATCTGAATATTGTGCAGCGGAACATGTACTACATAGCTGACGTCAGATCATCTCTCCCGATATTTTCCTCCTCTTGACCAGTCTTCCACGTTTCCTCACTTCCTTCTGAAACCGACTAACTTGAACATATTTGACGTCATTTGACGTAAGTCATAACGGAAATCCTTACACATTACGCACGGGGAGGTAGGAAGCGTCACTTGAGTATACGAGCATTCGGAGGAAGTACTTGACACGTGCATATTCCGCAAAGATGACAAGTTGAGAAGGTGAATTTTCTAGGCGTTGTTCGAAAATCCAGGCAAAGAACTTTCACTGGAAATTGAGGGCGTTTAGAGCTAAAATGAGTAAGACCTTAGAAAGGAGAACTGAAAGTTTGCTCACTGAATGTTTGAGATGTCACGCACGCCCTTTGTCTGCCAGAGCTCGAGATGGCATCCTAAGTTCCTTATATGTTATTATTGACGTCCCTATAACAGGGCTCGAAATTCATTTTTGGGAAAAGGTGCACTGGTGAACCCAACCTAAAACATTAGGTGCACATGCACCTAGTATTTCGAATCCTGTATAAATTACGACAGAGACTAATGCGACAAGCGCTAACTCTTTGCGCGCTAACTCTTGCAGGTTTCCTGTTGTTCCGGTGGCGTGAATTTCATATATTATTTTTTAAATTATTTTATCATCTTTCTACAGTTATCTAAGGCACTTCGTGGTTTCCAGTTTTATCATAATGTAGTCCTTGTAAATTTTTACCATGCATCCTAACTTGAGATTACACTGTAACTATAGATTCTAAGATGATACACTTGAAGTTGTACATTTGGTGGTCTTCATTGTTGTCTGACAGAATCAGCTGACGAATTATGTAGTTTGATAAGAATTCGGATGTTGGATTTGAGAGACTGTTTCTCATGCAGAATATTACATAACATATTGAAATAGAGCAGTCCTAGTACTAGTGTTGCATAGGGCGGGGCACCGAAACCGGGGAACCACGTGTCTGACTGTGAATCTCAAATCCGCTGGTTGTACCTACCCGACATCGCGAGTATCATACTGTACAATTAGCCATTTTAAACCTGTCCTGCGGAGCCCAACAATTATTGTTCTCCACATACAGTACCATCTATATTATAGCACTCTGTATAGTTACGATTTGGGTGTACAGTATTTCTCGTGCGACGCCATCACAAAGCAGCAAAACGCAACTTGGAATGCGGAAGTAACTATGCCACCGAAGGGTAATCTCCAAGAAGATCCCTTTCGGTGGTAAAAAGACAGTATCAAATTTTAATTGGCCAGGCAGTATCCATTAGCCAGAGAGGGTCGGCCACCGACGTGGGTAGCGACAAAAAAGCGGCCATATATAAAAAGTTAACGATCATTCCCCCACAACCTCTGCTTGGAGAGTAACCGAAGGGCAAAATAAGTCGGGGGTCTATGGCCTAATTAAGACATGAAATCATTGAAATATATTGTGTAAAAAATGCCAGCAGGACGAGGGTTAAGAACAATGTTGACAACAAGCCGTAGCGGTCGAACATGCCGAGTTCAAGCCCTCACACCGATCTCTTAAAATAGGTTGACGTCTTATGAAGATCTTGGATCAAGGTGACTCATCCTTCAAAGAAACCGCAATTCCAGGAAAAAATTGGGACTCGTGCTCGCAGACAGGGAAGAGAAGTGACCATCCTATCTCTCCGTAGTCCGTCCATGAGTGCTCGTTCTATTTTGGGTTTTAGGTATATATACGCCGGGAAGACACGGCGTGTGAGCACACAGACACGCCGGTTTGCCATGCACCTGTGGCAGGGAGAAGACCGACCTTATATCCGATGTCAGGATCTTTAAGCGGGCGTCAGGGTTCAGCGGCGCCAGGGAATGTAAGCCAGGGGTTAGGCCTGGGAATATTCATAAGTGAAGCTAGAAGGAAGTAGTGTCTAAAATATATCTACGGGAATTTACTTATAATTTACTTGCAACATTAATGTTTTTGGAGACAGGGATCGAGGTGAAACTTGCACATCTTTGTCAAATGATTTATAATTGTAAACGGATTATATACGACACATTTAGCAATTGCAATGATTCTAATAACTATAAATCGACATGACCTGAAATTTTGAAATCCGTTAATTGAATTCGAATTACTAGTACTGTAGGTCGGTTTGTATGTTCGTTGACTTAAACAGATGAAAACTTCAGAAAAGGAAGATTTTTAAAGCCCCCCCCCCGGTACAAAACATTCTACACGCAAGAATCCTGACTGCTCAATTTCCTGCTATTTGAAAAGTTCTGGACATGTTCCGCAATAGAGGTTTACATTGAGCTTATGATAATCATCATTTGAATCCTGGTAACCAGGTGTTGGTGGGTAAGGGATTACAGCAGCATGTTGGCGTGCTGAAACTTAATTAGGCCAAAGCAAGTAACTTTTATGGATGACATCGTCCGCAGACTCCAAATCTGATGCGATAGGGTGAAAAACACAAGGCGGGCAAAAAACCCCATGAGATTCTTTCATTTTCAAATTTTGAGGTCATAAGCCTTGTTAAAAAAGATCTTTAGTTGAACTTCACAAAACACGATACTGTATCACGACCAAACAGATATTTTATTCTTGTATTCAACACCATTACCTGTCCTTGTAGATACATCATGGGCAGCTACTATACTGGGTTTGATTTGATGCGATGGAACATGTCAGTGTCAACATTTGCGATCAAACGCGAACTATCGTGCCTCAAGTTTGCTGGATCGCTGATGGTCTCTGAACCGATAGGCATTTACAACATACTTGCCCTTTTTCGGCATGTTGACCACTGTCAGAAAGCAAAAATATTCTTTTCTTCCAAAATCAGGCGAAAATTAATGCGCGCGCTGATGTCATTCATAGAAATTACTTGCTGTGGCCTAATTGTTCAACACGAGTACACTGTAGGCGCATGACGTCATGTGAAAAGCCTTTACACGCCCGTCTGACGGCATAACAGTAACCAGGCATGCCGGGTAAATATTTACCGCTGGGCTGCTCAGGTTCCGCAACCAACCCTTCCAGTCACGTGATCAAACAATAACGGCATGAAAATCGACTACGTCGGCCTTGTTTGCACGATAGTATATTATTGATCAACAACTTATCTCTGCTTAATTGGTAAATAAGGATATGAAATATTTTTGGAGGTAAACATAGATAACTTGACAGTTCTCATTGACTTAGTTTGTAGCAATGCACGTGTACTTAGAACTCTAGCGCACGTGTGACTTTCTTTAACCATTTCCTTTATCAATGCCTACGATATGTACTTGGCAATCCTGGTATATGCTAGCCTAGAATCCCGTTTTGTTAGCTTTGCTTGATGGAGTAGCAACTTTGCCAAAGCTTAAACAAGACGGGGTTTCAGGCTAACCCTGGTATGCGACATAAAAAGTTACTACATGTTCTGCAAACTGATCCACACCTTCCTTACTAGTCTGTGTCACACTGGTCTGTCTTAGGAGGAAGTTTGCGTCTGGTTCACGGTTCCTTGAGGTCTTTATTTCCGATTTGTTTCCTTTAAGGAGTCTATTATCCCCGATTATTCCGTCGGTGTCTTTTAACTCTGTGCAGAGATCTTGCGGAGGTTGAGAGCTAGGTTCTTGCAAAAGTACAAACCCACCCAAACTTTCACAACTGAAGAGAAATACAAGGCAGTGTGTTGTTATTGACCTCGCAGATAAGAGTGGGGTAATATACGGTACATTTAGCGCCAGTGAAATGAATGTTCCTGAAATACAGGTGTTGCTAAAAACCCCATTTCCGCTCAAGTCTCGCGGTACTCTCCCTACCACGTGACTTCGTCAAGATCACCCCACCAAGTCGCAGACGTCATACCACCCTGGTGGCTTTTTTTAAACTCCTCTGATGTCATACACGTGATGTTTTTCAAGTGAAATTACATTGCTAGAACTTTCCCTTCCAAAATGATATGGTAAATCAGGAAACATTCTTTTGAAGAAATGTAACTTCACCTGCGCTCGTGACGCGTGAATTTCCGTCAGAAAAATATATAAAAGGCGGGTATCATGAAGGACCTGCAACAGTTTGCCGCCTGCGACAAGAGTGTGAAAGAAGAAGCTGACAGCACCAAGGACAGAAATGAAGATGAGACTGGTGAGTTCAAGTCACTAATCTTTTTCTTATTGAATCAAGGAAACAATTCTACACAAACGCTTTTCATGCCCACGTATCTAATGTATCTTAACTTGTAATACTTCGAACGCAAAGGCTAGATAAAAAAATTGCATTGGGACTGAAAAAGTATCTTAAAAGTGGATTTCTTTCATTTAGATATCAAGTGTTCGTGAGGCACTTAATAGTTTTGCTCGCAAACAGTTCTGTAGAAAAGGAAATTAGGAATCAACCGCCTGCCTGCCTAAATGCTTAGGCCAGAACTGGCCCCGGCCTTCCTCCTCCTCGTTTTTTCCGCAAGGCAGCACGGTCCTTAGCCTTTTGTTCTGCAAATTTCCTTCGGTGGGGAAATGGTTACAGACTGGCCAATTTGATACTCTGCCTTCTCCCCACCGAAAGATCTGCTTGGAGATTAGGGTCTTCCTCTAGGCCTGGGCTTTCTAAAGTCCTGGTGGTAGGTAGGCCCCGCCACCGGTGTCTATATCATTACTTGGAAAAGAGCTTGGGTTTTTGAGCTTTTATCGGCGACTTCAAAACAGGCTAGGCCTCGAAATGAACTTTTCTTCCTATTGTCCCAGCAATGTCCCAAAAATAAATTCAATTGTCCAAAAGTGAGGATGAACTGTCCCATGAAAATCTGTTTTTTCTACGTATTGTATGACTTAAACTTGAAGTCAACTTTATTTCGCTTATGTTCACTCCCAGGTGCACTTAAATTGCAGAGTAGACAGGAAATTCGAGGGAACCTTTCCGGATCCAAAAACCTGAACGTGTGCCTGATAAACAAAAGAAGGGCTGACATTCTTATGTTGATTATTTTTCTATTGTCCCAAAAATGTCTCAAAGTGTCTTTTTAGTTGTCCCAGCCTAAATTTTAGTGGTCAGTGGCCATTGGACTAGCCTCCATAGCATGCCAAAAACTGGGGGTTTTAGGGGTCTTTAGGGTCTTTGGGAGCTTATGTGCTATTTTCTGATTGCATATAGCCGGCCTGCTTGAACTACCTCCGTTTCTTGAACTAGGCTAATCAGAAAACAGCCGAAGACCACCAAACCCCTAGTTCTATAAGCCTGCTACCATTGGACCACCTTTAATTTCGAGCCCTGCTTTAAAGAACACCTTTGGCTCTTCTCCGAACGTTTCCTGTCTTTTTCCAGACCGCTGTGATGTTGGTGGTTCTGGTGGTCGTCCTGGCCGCAGAACAAGAGGCGCATGCGAAAAGGCGCGGTAGGGGCGCCAGGAAGTGCAGAAGGGAGAAGAACAAGCAGTGGTGCAACAAGGAGAAAGTCGAGGACATGATAAAAGATCATCCCGCCGTGGACAAGGAGAAGATCAAAATGGCAGAGAAGGATAAAGAGCAACAATCCAGCTGTCCAGCAGGGAAAATTGGTAACGTTAATATTTTCCTTTTCTGTCAGTGTTCGTCAGTATTCAATGTGTTGTACGGTAGCTGAAATGACACCTCTTGATCATGAGCAGTACGTGTGCAATCTTTATTCTCTATTTACACCCGTTTCTGTATCTGTATCAGTATAGCCGGTATAACCGCCCTTCGACGTTACACACCAGCTTCGCAGGCACGCGGCGCGGCGGCAGCCCGCTACATTACACCGAACGACTTGTTACACCTAATCCTTGAACATCTAACTCTAAACATTGTTTAAAGCTATCTAATGATATTATATCACTACTGTACTTGGTGAAAGCGAATTCCAGTTCTAGGAAATAATGAGTTTTTTTTTTAACACATCAATCCTTGGTTGATAACTCTGGTACTTGAAGGCATGACTAGTACATGTATTTATTGTTCTTTTCTGAGCCGGGTATTAGGTACTTAGTTGATGGTACGTCCACCAGTTTATCAGTCATTTTGTACATCATGCATAGTCTGGACATTGCATAGTATGGACTCAGTACAGATATAGCAACAGACTGAAGATATTTTTTATTTCCCATCTGCTGCTGCAGGTCTCAGAGACGAAGACGTGAGAGACGTGAACCAGAGGTCACTGACACCATGGGTTTATGTCACCAACCATACCGCGGCCTCAATCCGGATTCCAGACAGTACGTATGCGAAACTTGTGTTGAGATCAAGGAGCTAGCTTTAAAATTTTATGGTAAAATATTGAACTTAATATTGAAAATATTCCAACACAAAGATTACACAGAGATCAAATTTTCAACGACCACAGTCGCCTTTACCAGGATAATGAATGACCAATCGCTTCAAAACGATCACTTTAGAATTTTATGGTTTACAACCATGTACATTACAATCGTAAGTCTATAACATTTGCCACTCAGTCTACAGGTTAATAGATGCTAGTACCAGTCACAGTAGTAGTAAGTTTTTGAAAGCCGTTAGAGTTGTGAGCTTTCTTTGTTGACCCGCTGATGTTTCCTTACATTTTCAGCGTTTGTGGAGGCGAAGTGTCTCTGTGATGGATGCCTCATCTACGGACCGGACGGCGTGTCGGTGGAGAACACAAAGGACTACGTCAACATCCCGATCAAGACCGGCCTGCCCATCCTGGAGCGGTACGACTGTAGGAAGGGGAAGTGCAGGGAGAGGCAGGTGACCTACCAGGTCACGGTGGGCTGTATGTGCGCCACTCGCAAGCGCGCTATAAAGATGGGTTAAATGTTCACACTAACCTGGTGCCCAGTCTATCGTGGTTAGGACAGGCTGTCTTCGGGGATCTAATAGTTTTCCCCCGTCCAGCTCAACAGGCCGCCCGGTGAGAGTACTAGTATTACGCCTGTGATAGAATTTGGCACTCCGGGGTTGATTTGCCCCACCACGATTGCTAATCAATCTCCCATCGTGAAAAACCTACCGGGGAACCTAGCTCAGGCGGGCGGGGAAAAGACCCTGCAGCCCCGAAGAAAACCCGCCCCTACCACGATAGACTGGACACCAGGTTACGTTCACACTTTCTATGATTTATTTGTGACAAAGTTATAGTCAGTATAAAGTTATCAAGAATTGATGTATAGTCATCTGTAAGTTAGGTCTGCAGCAAAATGAATTTTAGTTACGGAAAAGTGACGGAGATAAATTATATATGATAAAGCATAGATTGTTATTCCAAATAATGACTCGTACGTAGGTACGCAAACATGCCACTGTATCTCCCTATGGGAATATTGTTGATATTTGTAAAATATCATGAAAAAAATAGGAGTTATTGAGGCAAAAATTGATAGTGACTTAACAAAGTATAAGTACTACCCTTTATATAGTTTATGTAGTGCACATAATGACATAACATTATAGACTTGTTTGATATACTATACTAGTATATGCGGGGACGTTATGTTGAACGTTACAACTACCCAACATTTACTGTTTGCAGTACTTTAGTCTGTAGCGCCTTGTGTATTTGCTATGTGAGTATTGAAAGGGATAGAGAAATTCAGAGAGAAATGTTTAGGTCTCGTTTTGATCTTGTTCGTGCCAATCCGATCGCTGGTCAGACGTTTGTCAACAGTAGTTATTTGGACTATTAGGTCTGGTATCGTAACGCTTTAAAGTAAAAGAAATATTTGATTCAAATAAAGGTATTGCTTTTTAATACGTAGTGTGTTTGTTTTGGATGTCCTTTTCCTTAGTATGTATGGGCTTCTCAATTGACAGAATCCAATCATCTTTGTAACGTTACCAATTTTAGTGAAAGAGGTGCAAGCGCAAGCATGGGATAAAAAGGACTGTAGAAAAACAGTTAACAATTTGCGGACGACTTAAACAAAACAAAACAAAACAAAACAAAACAAAACAAAACAAAACAAAACGTTTTCACACATATATCCCCCTGAAACGTTTAAACCGTTTGAACCAAACGAATTCATTCAGAAAGTTAGAGGATGAATTTCCCACTTTCAAATTTTCTACCTTCCAATGTGAATAGCGCTCCTAGCGGTTCCCGCCAAAACTTTACTTCGCGAACCCACAATGCGGTGCGGCGACCTGATTTTGAGCCGGATCCAACATGGCGGATACTTCGTCGTCTGTGGTCGGAGAGGGAGAGAAAATCAGTAAAAAGTAGGTATTTCGTACAGTTTTAGATCAGATGCGTACTGATAGCAGTAGATAATACCCTTGTCTCAAACTTAGCATTCCAAAAAATATAGCATGGGGCTACGCTTTGGAGAAAATATCGGATTTTGTGTGCGCATGGTTTTCGGTTTCAATCCTAAATGGCCTCGTTGCATCATGCTGAAAATATCGCATCGCCGGTAGGGGAGGGCGCAAAAGTCAACAAACATGTTTTGGTTTGATATGTTGACCTAGGAAGAATGGGCAGTGTGATATAAATCAGGTGGTCAATACTAAGCACGGTTAATTTGTCACTCAGTTGCCGAGTTTAATATGCCCTTTGTCTAAACAAGGAGTCTAAACTACAGCACACGTGGTCCTTGTAGAAGACTTGTGGGACATGGGGGTGGGGCATGGGTGTGGAAAGTTGCATCATATTATGTATTATATGTGATATGATCTTGCGTGGGCCTCTCAATGTGTCGTATTTTGCATTTTGGTTTATTTGCCATATATTCCAATTCGTTTTTATCATGATTTTCATGATCATCATGAACGTATCAAATGGCCCTTTGCACTATGAAATTTCATAGGTTACAGATTATATTTACAGATTGGTTTGTAATCGATGTTAGAGGTATGTTTAATCGTCCGTTAGCCTAGTGATAGAGTGATGCCACTGATGTATAACAGCTAAATGATAGTGCACGATACGGATGACACAAATCAGATGGTTGCTCACAGATAAAACAAAAATAAGACTGGAAACAAAAAGATTTTCTTCAGTTTAGATATTATTAGGTTTGTTGATTTCATATAGAGTCATTGTACCTGAATGAGGCAAGCAATATCTCTCAGCGTACCATTATAGATAAATCATTTAAATGAGTGCATCTCTCTCTTCTGTCCAATATAGGTCACTGTGATAAAATGTATTAGCAGACTAGATTTGAAAAGTACAAGAAGGCTGGGGAAACCTTGTGCAAATTAAAGAATGGCATCCCCTGGGTTGTCCTTGCTGCTGAAGGTTGTCCGTCAAGTTCAGGGGGTAGTGAGACTGGGGCTGGTCAGGCAAAATGAGCCAGTCCACATCCAAAGGTGGCCCACTTGGACTTGGCTCACAAGGGCCACCTACAGCAGCGATCACAAGGACACGCTCAGTAAAAGGTTGGTTGGTTTTGAGTGCTGTTTTGTCACTGTGTCAGCTGTGGGATAAAGTTATTTTTCTTTCAACAAATCTTTGCTTGACAAATGTATTTTTCCAAGGCCACAAGAAGATTCTGTAGTGTATACTCTTAGTCTGGACAAAAGCAAAATGCATGTGCTAAGTTGAATTAATTGTCATTCTTGAGGATGTCTGAAACCCAGAAGCAAATTACAGTAGACCAACATAAACTTGTGGTGTCCTTTGAACTGTCCTGGGTTTCTAAAACAATGTGAGTAAGATACTACAAATCCTAGGTAGAAAGCACAGCACTCTTCAGTACTCATTACCAGCCAACCTTTATTTTTCCCTTTTTGAACAGTTAACGCATGTGCTAAAAGTAATTTTTGCTAAGTCTCTTTTCCTTGTTTCTGCCCAAAGTGAACTTAAGAGGAGACTGAAAGCCCAGCAGAAACAAAAGGAGAAAGAAGAGAAGGCCAAAGCAGCTGCAGAGAAGATGGCCGAGACTGTGGCTAAGAAGGCGGCAGGACCAGCTCAAGATGCCATTGATGAGGAGTCCTTAGATCCCAATGTATGTATATATCCAGCATGCAAAATATCTGGTATCCCAGTTGCCCCGGGCAACCAAATTTTACTTGGGGCAACCTATTTTTGAACCCAGGTAGCCCAGTGTGCTTATCAAATCCAAAAATCATCAGATGAAACACTTTTTTTGCTTGACATGATTTTGTCATAGGAAGAGAAAATTTGTACACATATAGTCTAGTAGTGCTAGTAGATGATTGTAAGACCAGAGGTGTGAATTACCTTGTCTTTCAAGTCTGACAACATTCCTTTGTGACAGACTGTCTGAAGTATTTAGTCCTCGAGTGTATTAATGGCTATTACTAGTATCAGTTAAGTTACTAAAGGCTGTTAGAAATATTGTCAAAGGCTTGTAGTAACATTACTTAATTAGAGGAAAGTAGTAACTTATAGGTGGGGCAACCTAAAATTCTGATGGGCAACCTAATTTTTTTCCGTAGGTTGGCCACCGGGCAACCAGGTTCAAAAAAGTATTTCATACACTGATATCTTCATCACTTAGGCCACGCTGCTTTAATTCTATGGATGACATCTACGTGCGCAATGATTTTTGCCTGTTCTAAAAAATATAGGGGTGGCCTGGATGCCATCCTCTGTAGTCTATGGCATCGATAATATGATCTTCAGAGGATGTTATCCATAAAATTATGTCAGTGTAGCCTTATTTGTCTGGAATTTCATGAAAAGGTTCAGTCATAGCTTTCATGTATGCCCAAAAATGTGGAGTCATTTTAAACATTCATCTGTGTTTTGTTTGTACAATTCTTACCTTTTCATGTTTTTCTTTCACCAGCAATACTTCAAGATTAGATCTCAGGCCATCTTGGATCTGAAGAAGGGTGATGAGCCTCCCTACCCCCACAAGTTCCACGTGGAACTGTCCCTCAAGGAGTTCATTGACAAATACCAACACCTTAATGCTGGAGACCACCTGACTGATGTCACTCTCAGTGTAGCAGGTACAAAAATACATGTACTACAATTAGTACAAAACTGTTGGCAGTTAGGCCATGTTGATTTGATTATATGGATGACATCCTCCGGGAACCCCAAAATTGATGCGCGCCTGCGAATAAAAAAAAAGTTTTGCAAAAAAAAAGGTTGTTTTCATTATGAAATCTATGTGGTCATGAGGGTTGAACAAATGGGACAGAATATGGTTTGGCGAATAATGTAGTCTTCAAGTTCATTTCTTTCAATTTCGTCTTTTTTCGTTTGATTTTGGCATTGTACGACATTGGTATGTTTTTTTTGTAACTTACGGTATATTTTTGCTCATTTTGCAACTGTTTTGTACGATTTACAGTATGGTTGAAAACTTTTTTTTTTTTTGAAACGGCCAAAAATTAATGCGCGCGCGGATGTCATCCATATAATCAAATCAACATGACCTTAATGATAAAAAAAGACCTTCACTACAAATTTATATTATTGGCCATTAGGAAGAAAAAAATATGGCTTCTTTAATTAACAGTTATCTATGGTCTACTTGTAAGAAATCTGTTGCTTTCTCCTCTTTATTTGCGTTTATTTGCATCCTCATTATGAAACTTACCATTGAAATGATTGCTAACTATACATGTAAGCAGTGAATCAGGTGCACAATCTAGTATATTATTGATACTATGCTTTGTAAAGATTTATTAAAAGGCAATGGAAAACACCATGTCTTGAATGTATAATTCTGCAAGACTGAAAACAGTAATCTAGACATACCACGTTGTGTCCAGGTCGGGTCCATGCTAAGAGGGAGTCAGGCCAGAAGCTGATATTCTATGACCTGAGAGCAGAGGCTGTGAAGATCCAGGTCATGGCCAACGCCAGATTCTACACCAGCGAGGAGGAGTTCTTCAAAATCAACGGCAGAATCCGGAGAGGGGACATCATAGGTGTTAAAGGCAACCCTGGTATGCTGGTGTTTTGTTACTGATACATCCATCCGTTCATCTGTTCACAATTAGTTTTGTTACAGCTTCAGCTAACTGGGATATTGGCAGAAGATATTGTGTAGTTGCTTGACAGTTTTTAATTTTACCGAAGGAAAACATATTGTTTTGCTCTGTTTCCTCCAAATCAAAAAGGTCAATGACCTGAACCAGACTGTCTGTTACCATGGTAACTAGTGTTGGGTTACATCATGTTGCAATTGGAGGGATTCAGACTCCTGTACGAATGTGTTTGAGTAAGAATTAACAGAGCAGACCAAATGCAAAGGTAAACTTGCATTTGCTTTGCAAATGTTACCTTTCTAGTTGTTACAGCTTCAGCTAGCTGGGATATTAGCATAAGATATTGTGTGAGGAATGCTTGGTGATAAGTACAGAATGCTTGACAGTTGTTTCAGTAGTACTAGTGGTTGTATCACCATGAAGAGAATTTGTCTGCTGTTGATCCAAACAGCCTCAGAACGATGTGTTTTGTGTTCCAGGTAAGACCAAGAAGGGAGAACTGAGCATCATCCCCACCTCCATCCAGCTGCTGTCCCCCTGTCTGCACATGCTGCCTCATCTGCACTTTGGCATCACCAACAAGGTAGGGGGCGCTGCTGCACTCGTATATTCTTCTGTTCACAACTAGACCAGAGCTAGGCATTGAAATCCCACTTCTGACACCATATGACGGTTACCTTCTGCCCTTCGTACCTTCCTACAGATGTGGTTCCCTTGTTAATCACAACTCAACTCTAGATGATCAGTTTGGAGGCTTTAATGTTGCAGCTTTTATGCTCTGGCCATACCAGGGAAAACTCTCTTGGGGAAGGGACTGTTGCACATGCGTATTAGTGGGTTATTATTATTAAGCACTACGTTTGTAGTCTGCCTACACCTTATTACAATGGCTAACACTGGTTTGTTGCTTAAAATAAACCGGCTGTCCGCCCCTCACCCCCTCCATTAACTGCTTAAATGGAGTAGCCCTGAGTAGTTATGGCTAACACTGGTGTGTCCGCCTCTCACCCTCCTCTATCAACTGTTGAAACCCTGACTATGTGCTGTCCATTGCAGGAGACGAGATACCGTCAGCGATACCTTGACTTGATCATCAACGAACATGTCAGGGACAAGTTCATCATAAGGGCCAGAATCATCAACTACGTCAGGCGCTTCCTGGATGAGTTGGGATTCCTGGAGGTAACCCTTATCTTTTAGAAATTCAGTCTGAACATAAATCCTGAAGAAAACTAGAAAGGTAGCATTTCCAAAGCAAATGCATAATGTTTACCTTTGCATATGGTCTGCTTTGTTAATTCTTACTCAAACACATTCATATATATGGTCAGACAGGAGTCTAAATCCCTCCTGCTATAAAATTTCAACATGATGTAACCCAACACTAGTTACTGTGGTAACAGACAGTCTGGTTCAGGTCATTGACATTTTTGGTTTGGAGAAGAAAAAGAAGAGGAAACGTAGCAAAAACAATATGTTTTCCTTCGGTAAACACAAAAAAGTCTTCTATCTCGGGTATCTTCACATTTTATTACCTTCTGAACCTCTTTAAGTACCACTTACAGTGTGGTATGATATAATTTTCACTGGCACTATGCAAAATCTAATTATCTTAGCAGGAAATATAGTAGAAAAATGAAAGGAAAAGAAGAAATTAAGAGCTAAAACATTTGCAAGAAGAATGTCATGGGTCTGACTTGTCCATACTTACAGGTTGAAACCCCCATGATGAACATGATCGCTGGCGGAGCCACAGCCAAACCCTTCGTGACCCACCACAATGAACTGGACATGGACCTGTACATGAGAGTTGCACCCGAACTCTACCTCAAGGTAAGGGGAAAGGCAGTAGGTGGGAATGGTACCAAGAGGTGTTCTTGGTACACTATAAAGATGTTCTGATAAGGCCTAGGAAAAAATGTTGTGTTTCCTGTTTCTGTCCTGAAAAAATTAGGGTCAGCAGTTAGGGATGATCTTTTTTGTGATTATTTTAGATTAGATACATGTAGATTTTGGCAATACATGTATTGATCCAACTTACAATACAGTTTAACAAAGAAAAACTTGCATGAGGACACTTCAATGTCAGTGTTGGAAAACCGATTGTATAACGTTTTATCACTCAGGTGTCAGATCATGGAGCTAGAAAAGGTCGATCAGCTCGAAAAATTTATGTCCCTTGCAGGGATCCACCCAAAAAAGTGTATTTTAGTTGTCTCAGCCTAAATTTTAGTGGTCAGTGGCCATCCGGACACTGTTAATTTCGAGCCCTGCTTTTATTCAGATGCTGATTGTGGGTGGAATTGACCGGGTGTACGAGATCGGCAGACTGTTCCGTAACGAGGGCATCGACCTCACGCACAACCCCGAGTTCACCACCTGCGAGTTCTACATGGCGTACGCAGACTACAACGACCTCATGGAAATGACAGAGGCCCTGCTGTCAGGTGAAGACCATCAGTCACATTATAACATTTGTCATTCTTAACATACATTGGCAACAAGAACTCTTCCATTTTAGATACAGTATATGGTTAGGAATATGGATTAAGATGAAAAATTGGTTCAAGAGTAGAAAAAGAAGTAAGAGGTGTTCCTGACTACCCCCTCCTTAGATTTTCATTCACCTTAGTCTTAGTTCAAAAGCCTGTCATCCAGGGCTCTAGCCAGCACCCATTTTTCCGTCAATTGCAGGAACTTTGTGATATGTGATGGAAACATTTTTAAAGCAATCTGATGGACAAAATTGCAAAAAATTTTTGGTAAAAAGATAAAAGGATCTAAAAGGCCACCAACAACCACTCTAGATCTCAACCCAATTATTCGCCTCTCAAAATGTGGGAAATTACATTTTCAAAGGCTTGGAAATCCAAAATTTGTCCCCAGTCATAAGTTCCATCATGAATCTGGGCTGACAGACAAAAATTTTGAGCTGGCTAGAGCCCTTCTATCAGTTTTTTTTTTATCCCCAAGTACAATACTACAAGTACAAGGCTTGAAATCTTTTGTCTTACTAGACATTTACAGTTATCTGTTGTGGTCTGACACGTTGATTCCCCCCCCCCCAGGCATGGTGAAACACATAACAGGGGGGTCGTACAAGATCCAGTACCACCCTGAGGGGGCCGACAGTGATGAGGTGTGGGAAGCTGACTTCACCCCGCCCTTCAAGCGGCTGGACATGATGGGTGACCTTGAGAAGGAACTCAAGGTCAAGCTACCTGCAGCAGACACTCTGCACACGGAAGGTGAGGATGTCTGTGGTACAGTATGGTGATGGTCATAGAGAAAAACGAACAATCAGAAGGATTAGAAGAAAATGTTTTAGAAGTTCCTAAACCAAGGTTACAGGTACCAAAAATTGTAGGAGGAAGCCAACTGACTGGTCATTGTAATTAAGTTACTTAACGTGAGTTTTTATGAACAAAAATTGCACTCTATATTCATATTTGTGTTCATATGTAGTGTACATTTTCATGTCTATCTATTTTTTCTGTATGCAGAGTCGAGGAAGTTCTTTGATGACTTGTGTACAAGACTGGAGGTGGAGTGCCCTCCCCCAAGAACAACAGCCCGACTGTTAGACAAGGTTGGTCACACTACTTAATGTGTATCTAGTGGTATGACAGTGCTGGAAGAATCTTGAGCATTAAAGACTTATATATGTCACGAGTCTCATGTTATTGACCTTTGGAGACACCCACTTTGTTGTGTAGTGTGTGTACTAATCATTTCAGAATCAGGTAGAAGTGTTGTTCTGACTATGGTGTATTTTGTTATGTTGTAGCTGGTTGGAGACTACCTAGAAGTGAAGGGGATCAGTCCAACCTTCATCATTAACCACCCTCAGATCATGAGTCCACTTGCTAAATGGTAGGTCTGAGAGTTTACACACAAGTACATCTGCACTGAAATGTTTCTCTGTAGATGATTTATACTTTGTATAAATCATCTACACTAGTGCTGCAATTTAGAATCATTTTAAGAAAATCATTTGCAGATTTCCCAGTGAAACTATGTCAGTTTTGACAAGTAATGTCAACAGCTGTGCAACACACGTTGATGTGATGTGAACGCATGTTGTATTTCAATAGCTATTCAGATAAATAAGACTATGCTTTCATTGAATTATTGAGAAAGGAGAGTGCCCCATGTGTTCCCTCCCTCCAGGCACCGTTCCATCCCTGGCCTTACGGAGCGGTTTGAGCTGTTTGTTATGAAGAAGGAGATCTGTAACGCCTACACAGAGTTGAACGACCCCATGGTACAGAGGGAGAGGTTTGAACAGCAAGCCAAGGTCAGTCTGGTGGCTCCAAATATAAAATCCTTCAATCTTAACCTTCTTCCTGATCCCTTTTTCCTGTATACAAGCTTATGCCAGAAGGCTGTCAGGGCGTCAGGGCGTAGGCTAAGTTACTATGGATAATCTCGAATACTGTTGGGGAAAAGCATTATTAAACACACTACTCTTTGTAGTTGATTAATCAGATACAAATACACATCTTTTGGATTAATTTGTTGCCTTTAGCATTGACAATTATACCATGTTCTTGTTGCAATGTGTGACTGGAGAACAAAACAACAGCAACTCCTTGCGTTTGCAATTTCAGCAAATCTGTGATTTATTAACATTTCCATCTGGATATCATGTGCCAATCTTATTTTGGCTGAAGTTTCCTCAAACCGTTGTTGCCTCTAGCCTTGACAAAATTATGCCTTGTTCTTGTTACAATGTGTTACTGGAGAACTAAACAACATTGACTTCTTATGTTTGCAATTTTAGCAACTCTGTAATCTGTTAACATTTCCAACTGAATATCCTGTATTGACTGTTGTTCCCTGCAGGACAAAGCCGCTGGTGATGATGAGGCCCAGCTGATTGATGAGAACTTCTGCACGTCCCTGGAGTACGGTCTGCCCCCCACGGCAGGCTGGGGCATGGGCATCGACAGGCTCACCATGTTCCTCACAGACTCCAACAACATCAAGGTCAGGCAAAAATTCAATCAGGTTACAGGGCTCAAAATACTGGGTGCATGTGCACTTAAGTGCACCCAAATTTGGAACTGTGCACCCATTTTTTTTCTGTGGGTTCACCAGTGTACCCAAATATTTTCATAGGTTTACATATGTAAAGATGTTAAATGTATGTATGTTATTAGTAGTATATTAAAAAATTGTTGTATTTTTCTTTAGACATGAAACTTTAATAGTTTTTGCTGACATTCTATTTTTTATTTCATGCGGTGCACCCAAAAAAACAACCTCATCTCTGACAGAAAAACCTATCGTTTTTACCTGGAAAATCTTACCTGATTCCTAAGACTTTACTGCATGTAGCTGGACTGTGATGGTATGTGAAAGTTGAGGTGTTTCTCATGTTGTAATGATATACTGCTATCGTAATTGATAGTGATTTAAATAATGTGTTTCCTATTGCAGGAGGTGTTGTTCTTCCCGGCCATGAGGCCAGACGATACAAAAGCAGGAGACAAGGATGAAGAGCTGGCCAACGGACCAGACAATCCAGCTAACAAATAGGTGTCAACCTGACATCACTGCAGGCACGGGAACAAACATTGCATTCAAAGCCCACCAGATATACTTCATGTCCTTAGAAATGTTTACGAAAATACATACTGAATGTCACACTGAAAGGTATGCTTTGTATAATGCCAATCACTGCAGCTTATTTGTAGCTCCGGAATATGCAAGTGAAATTTTTTGTACAAAAGTCAGGATGCCAACTAAAGTACTCTACTTCTGCCAAGTGCAACTATCATTGCTCAGATTCTAAAACTGTGGTACATCTTTAGAAATTAAAATCAAGGTTTAGAAGTGCATGATTGAAACATTACAGTATGTTGCAGAACTTAATTATAGCACTGAATGACTGTCAGATGCATGTATGGCACATAGTGAAAAAGTATTCATATGACCAGTTTTACTGTAGGCAATTTTTACACACCCATACACTACTAGTTATTTTCATGCACATATGGGCTATACAATTGTAAGTGAAAACATTAGTTTTTACATTAATAATTATACCTATTGTCTATAGAATATGGCCATTTTTAAAACACTCTTTTGAAATGCATCAAGGTTATGCATCTACAAAATACAGTACATGTATGTGGTGGTAAATTTACAAATAAGGGAGTACACAAATTATAGACAAAGTTCAGCAAAAGACTTGTATGATTACTTCCTTTTATTTTAGAAATGGTTCTTTATCTGAGAATACTCCATACACTCTTCACACATCAACATGGATTTTTACTAATATTGCTACATTATTTTCTATTTCCGTGGGATTTAGGTAGAGAATTAGAATTGTGCACAAACATACTGAACCATCGTTGACTCTTATGTTAGCTACAAGTAATTTGCTCTAAAAGGTGGGCTATCACTAAACTATCAACACCTCCATATAAAGATGAGTACTATAGCAACAATTGAGCAGTCATGACTTCAGTTTCCCTTAGCTTTAACACATCTATGGCTTTGCGATGGGTTGGTACTTCTTATAGTGTTTCATATAATCCTATCTATGGCACATCATACAAATATAGAGCTTCACTTTTCAAGCCCTTCTAGAAAATGACTTTATATCCTTACCATTCAAATTGCTTTTCCCCATACAGGGAAAAATTGTCCCTATTACCCGTTTCTTTATGTTCGATGTGTGAAAAATAGTAACAGTTAAACTTACATCTTTCGTTCCATAATAATTACAAGTATACCTTTAAAAACATCATTCAATCTTTTTCACTCTCTATCAAATACATTTTACAGAAGACAACTTTTTGTATAACATGCATTGACAACTGTCACAAACATACATCTTTGTGAGAATGTTCAGTCATAGCTGCTCTCTGCATAGAACCTTTCAAATCCAAACGCATTGTTAATTAAGTCCATACATACAACACTACATACCCTGGCATCACATGTATCTATTTCTTGCTGAGTGGAAGATTTTGGAACAGTAAATGACAGAAAAACAATAGACAATTCATAAACACTGATCTTAACTAGTCACAGTAACTACTGACACTGGGGTTTTGTGCAAGACATGTATTGCAGCATTGCTCTGTTGCAAGATTGGCTGCTGTTAAGAATCCTCTTCTTCAGCTAATTCCTCAGCCAAAGGTCTGACAGTGTTATAATGCTCACCCAGTCCATACATATGCCGGTGGTACCTGTGGAGCAAGAACAGGTTGAACTGCATGTTCAGAGAGCATTTATCAACACTACAGTCACAAAAAGACTTGGGTAAATGGTAGCGTGTTTGGCTCTGGGCCAAGAGGTTGCGGGTTCGAATCCTATCATGTCACCGATCTTATGCCCTTGGGAAAGGCACTTTACATGACTTTCCTCACTTCACTCAGGTGGAAACGAGTACCTAGCTTTGGTTAGGGACGTCCCTCGGATAGGACGTTAAATGGAGGTCCCGTGTTTGGGGAGAGGCACATTAAAGAACCCACCACACTTCTTGAAAAGATTAGGGGTCCTTCCCAGTGTGAATGGTTCAAACCTTACAGTCCAGTCTTATGAAGCTTGTACTTCCATGTACAAAACTGGTGTGTTATGCCTAAAGGCATTTTACCAGCTATGCGAAACAAACGTTGAGCAAAAATTAGTCTACAATGTTCAAATTTTACTACACACTGGTACTGGTTACGGGCATTATACAAGTACAACATATAGACAATTGTCACCAGAAAAAAAACAAGGGAGGATCAACTTACGTCAGAACAACTGGCAACTTGGCATCATACTCCTCTCCTATTTTGATGGCAGGGCCTTCAGCCTGAATAACCTCTATGGAACACTTCAATACTCTGGACAGGGCTTGGAGCTGTGAGAGGAAGACGCGTGGAAATGATTTAAGGAAATTAGTGGTGATTCCAGCAGCTAAAACTTGAGACTGATACCATAATACATACAAGTACAGCAGCTTGATTATTGGAAGAAGTATTGAGAAAATGTTATTTTAACCCACCTCTAGTTGGCCTCCCCAGGCAGCAGTATTGGCAATATCGTTGCAGTAGTCCTCAAACTCCTCTGAAATACACAAAGCATTTTGTCTGCTGAATGAACTGTTGGCTTGTGTCACAAACAGAATGTAGGAGAGCCATAGATATTCCGTAAAACTTGGTCATCACCAACACTAACCTGGAGTGTAGGGGTCTCCAGTGTCATGTTTGGACAGGAAAGGGAGGAAGTCGTCTGTGTGGGACTTCATGTACTCAGCAGTCAACTGGCGAAGGGCCAGCATGCTTTTCTGTAAGGGAAAACATATTTGTACATATTCAATTGCTTACCCTGGTTTAACATCACCAAAAACTTGTACATTTTAACAATTTGAAGATTTTTACGGCAGTGATTTATCATAAAGCCTATCCAAACATTAGAGGTTATAAGACCTAAGCTGATGAAAACAGTAGGATACTGACCTCATCACCAACTTGCTTCAATTGTTCAGCAACAGCATTGTACAAGCTATAAAAAACACAAGGGTTTATACATAACATTAAACAAACAAAAAGGTTTTGAAAATGAAATTCAACAGAAATTCATATGACATATTTGAACTGAAAAGGTAAAGCTCTTAAATGCGAGAAACTTACCAGTGACCATCTGAAGAGATCTAAGGTACGGAGAAGAAAATACATAGTTGTTAGAATCTATTTTCTTGCATATTTTACTCAGTGTTAATCACTGGCAAATAATCATTTGCTAGCAATTTGTGTTCCAGTAACTTTCCTACAATGCATTATGGTAATGATCTATATCTGATATCAACCACAGACATGGGGTCAACTGCAATACCCTTGGAGAACAGGAACATACACAGCAGCAATAGTCAATGGCTAGTACAGAAAATGTCTTCCACAATCCATATATTTACCTCCTTCACTGCCAGATGCCTGTCCCTGAGGAGAGCCTTGATCTTCTGTGTCTCCTGGTGCCTGGCTCCCAGCAGGTTCTCCACCTCAGAGTCAGCTATACGCTGCTCACGCTCACGGTCCTTAGCTGCCTTCTTCTCCTGGAAACAATTGGCCAAAAACAGTTACAAATACCAGCATACATATACAGGTACTGTATAAGGGAAAACAATGACTACTGGAAATGACAGTCCATCTATTGTGGTATGTTGAAGGTATTGTACTTGATACTTGATGCTGATACATTATATGCAAAGTATGAACAGGTAACAACATCAAATACTGACTTTTTCAAACTGTACAGCAAATGTTACAAGTGGTTTCCTGTGAGAAAAGAATGTGTCTTACCCGTCTTTTCTGTGCTTTGGAGACCTTTTGTTTCTGAGGCTGTTGTCCGTGTGCTGAGTCAGTCACCTGCAGATCTAGACCCTCCACCCCTTCTGTTACAGCATCCTCCTGGGGAACATGGAAGAACAGGTCAAGCGAGACATTTTCGTTATCACATCTTAAAATTTGAAGAAAAATGACAGATGAAAACACATTTCTTGGCATATTTATTTATTTATTGTTTATTTCAGGCTCAATGGCCCATAGCACAGACACACAACATTACACAAACACATCTAAAATAAAATATCTAAGTGGGTACAAATAGATAAAAGACTGTCGAGTGTTGAGCCCTTAGGTGGGCGGACCAGTCTACAGTAATGGCAGCCTAAAACTAATTCTTATCAAGCTCTTATCGCTACAGCTATTAGCAACTTACATGTACAACACATGTACTATTTAATTCAAGTGTACATTACAGTTACTGTATAGTTCAATGTGACTGCCAGAAAAAGTGGCCAGCTATCATTTCCCTAGATGACTACCTCTTTACTGGCATCACCAGATGCCGGCAGTTCCGCCTCCTCCCTGAGGTGTCTCTCCTCCAGCTCAGCCTCGAGTTGTGCGATCTCGACTGTCAGCTGTTTCTTCCTCTTCTTATCATTCTTAGGGACAGAATTCTTCATCTGCTGGACTTTGGCTAATTGGGAAGGAGAGGATATTTGTTAACAATTATATGTCCCAGTAGATTTGTTTTGTTTCTCTTTATCTTTAAGACCACTAGTCAAGGAAGCCAACAAGAAACAGCTATAAAATACCTGTGTACATTTGTAACCCATACAAAAAAGGAAATATAATAAAAAGGTAATATCGCGTGAATTATGATCTCATCTAGGGAAAAATTCTATCCATGCAGCACGCAATATGAAAGGCAGGAGACTTAACTAGTGAAGTGTGATGCTACCATCCCCAAATATACTGCAACGTTCTAGAGGTCACCAAAAGTACACAACTGCAACTGACCCACAGGGCGGAAACAGTAGTATCATCAGCACAGCTCTAAGTCCATCTAACGCGCTCCGATCTTGCCATGTTTACAGGTACAATTATTCAGTACTGTCTGCCCTGAGGTGTCCATACTTTCGGCTTCAGATCGTACAAGCTACAGTCGGACGGACGCCTTCTGTACTAGATCCGGTATCGAGCCGGTCATACCCCCCCCCATCTCTTTTCACCACACTTCAACTGTCGCTAGAGGCTTCCGTGAATGTAATATCAACACAATACAGAGTCTGATGATTTCCACGTCTATATACGATAAACCGATCCCTACCTTGAAGTTCCTTCCGTTCTTGTTTGTGTTTTCTGGCCAGTTTTTCAGCCGGACTCAGATTTTCTTCTCCCTCGTCCGCCATGATGATTACGTCATTGCCTGGGAACATCCCAAAAATAGTGTAGGAAATTTTATCGTCTCTACTTCTATATGTGGTCTTTAAAATGAAAACTACCCAGCTATATAGATACATTAAGTTTTATTTTAACTTATTATATCGTAATAAACAGTTTAAAGTGCATTTAATTTGGCTTTTACAAATTGTATTCCAATACTAAATTAAGACACCCCCTCAGAAAATGGTGGGTCCTCCCATAAAGGTGTGCTCCGGTCTGAATCAGGAAGTGGTGGAAAATGGTGGGTGTGCCGTCTTGTGTTTGCTTTCCGTCTTATTAAGAGCACTTTGACGATTAAAACAACATTTGTAGTTATTGCGGTATTACAAACTGGTGTTGTAATCTGTATGGCCTGCTCTGGATCTAGCAGAAGCTTAGAATGGACTGTTGCACCTTCCTGAATATGGACAATGCATATGTCTCATAATTTGACACTTTCAAATATAACCCTCGGTAGTTATATCATATTAGCAATTTGGCATGGACCTTCAGTTCTCACGTGTGTATTACCCATAGATGTACGTGTAGCTTAAAACACAACAAATAACATGCTTGAATTGCAATGGCAAATCATCACCATTGACGTTTATACACATCCACATAGCAGGAAATTTTCATATCAAAAGACCAATTATCATAAAAAATTTGAACTGATTGAAATGAAACCAAGGTCTTAAACCTCCTTGGTAAAACACATGGACCTGCTTGGATCTCTGAAGGGCTTGTTTTTACTGCTTCTTTTAAACATAACTTTGAAATATAATACATTTTGTATAGCAACACTGCTGTGTGATTAAAACATTGTACATCTCTTCAGCATGGACGACTGAAGGTGAAAACCACTGCAGAGCAGCAGGAGGCCAAGAGGAAAGAACGGGAGGAGAAACTCAAGAAGTACCAGGCTGCCACGGGAAGGCTCTTTGAAAAGGTTACCATCTAGAAAACTTAGTCTTGTCTAATCTCCAAGCAGATCCTTGGGTGGCATAAAGACAGTACCAAATTGGCCAGGCACTATCCATTGGCCAGAGAGGGTCCAATACGGCACCCAAGCAAGGTTGGTGGGTGTAGCGACAAAAAAAAAAAGGACCATATTTATAAAGGTAATGATCTTCCCCCATCAACCTCTGCTTGGAGAGTAAGTCTTGTCTCTAAGTTGTACTGGTATTGGACACTAACTGTAGATTGCAATTTTGCAAACAGAGAAGAAATGTCACGGTCATCATATGATTTCAAACACTAGCCAACACCTAGCCTGAATAAAATGTTGAATAAAAGAACCTTCTTATACAGTACTAGTAACTGTCTTATGAAGGGATAAAGATACTTAAATGATGGACGTTATGAGTCATGGCTTATACTGTTATATATACATGATGTGTACTTATTTTTTTTCTTCAGAGAAAGAATGCAGAGCATGATGGAGAGGCCCTGGACCTCACCGGCCGTATCCTGGCTCACAACTCAGACTTCCTCTCCATGTGGAACTACAGGAAGGAAATCTTCCAGGCCTTCCACAAGGACAAGTAAAACAGCTTTACCTTCTTTTTTCCCAACATGTTATTAATCCAGCCTGTATATCTGTAGGAGAACAAATTGCAAATGTTACATGTGTGTGGTAAGCCAATAAACATATCCTTCAGCATTCTAAGTCACCTATTTTAGGAAAGAAATCTGGTACACTGGCCGGGGCTCCAAGGCATGCTTTTTAAAGGGTTGCAAACCATAATCTCCAACTCCAAGCAAATCCTAGGGTGGCAAAAACAGTATCAAATTGGCCAGGCAGCATCCATTGGCCAGAGAGGGACAAAACAAAAAAAAAACAAAAACAAAAATCAGGCCACATATAAAAAGGTAACGATCTTCCTCCATCTGCTTGGAGAGTAGCAAACCATCCACTGTTTGAAGCTTGTATGTATCAGAAAGTGCAGTTTCAGAATGTCATTTCTATTGTCAGTATTGACATCATTGTTCTATTTGATATCTTCCCCTCCAGGTCAGCAGATGAGATGCAGCAGCTGTACCAAGATGAGCTGTCCTTCCTGGAGACATGTCTGAAGTCCAACCCCAAGTCTTACAGTGTGTGGGAGCACAGGTGCTGGGTCATGGACTGCATGCCCCAGCCAAACTGGCAGAGGGAGCTGCTGCTATGTAACAAGTTTCTGGAGTATGATGAAAGGAACTGTAAGTTTTGTCAGACTTGTACTTTACAGGCTTTACTCATTGGAGAACAGTTATTCCTTCAAAAGTATAATTTTTTGTTGGGGCTATACACATGTACGACATTGTACATCAGTATGGTTGTGTGATGCAACAGCAAAGCATTCCATTCAGAACCAAGAGGTCCCGGGTTCAAATCCTGCCATCACCAGCCTTGTGCCCTTGGGAAAAGCACTTTACACTACTTTCCTCACTTGGCTATGGTGAAAATAAGTATGCCAGAATGATGGTTATAATGATCATGGGCATTAAAGGAAAACCAAACCATTGCTTATTTTTTCCAGTCCACTGCTGGGACTACAGAAGGTTTGTAGTTCGTCGAGCCAACATCCCCCCTCAGGAGGAGCTGAAGTTCAGTACAGACAAGATCAGCTCCAACTTCTCCAACTACTCCTCCTGGCACTACCGCAGCAAACTGCTGCCTCTGGTCCACCCTGACACAGAACAGCCGCAGGGCGTGGAGGAGACTGCACTGTTACAGGGTTAGCCTGATGCTTCAATACCCTCAAACCACACTCACACAGCACATTGGCAGAACATACTGGCAAAATCCCGGTTTCACACAGGCGCGCGAAACCAGGATTTTTCATTTTTTTTGTCGGATTTTTGGTGAATGTTGCATCAGAATTTTGCCTGTTGCAGATGATATCTTTTCCAACTTTTCTAACATTTGTAAACTACAGACGGGATGTTAACCTTATCTGCACAAATACGACCGTATATGAGACGTTCTGCCGAAGTGCTATGCACAATACATAACGGATTTCGCGCAGGTGCAGTACGTTCTGCTGACGCGCTCACTCACACTCACTATCCAGTTTAGTGTCTGTTGTTCCCCGAGTTAGACGTGCTTGCACACTGATGCTGAGGCTTGATGGCAACCTGCCATGTGCCTCTGTCCTGTGGGTTCACTATTATGTAGGTATTGTAGGGGACAAACTCTGACAAAGGTTTGCCAGTATCTGTTGTTTGGATCATCTGTATAAATTTCAAACATGAAACAGAATGAGATGACTTATAACCATCTGATCTAACAAGTGTCATTACTTTTCCTCGACAGAACATGAGCTGGCCCAGAATGCGTTCTTCACAGATCCCAACGACCAAAGTGCCTGGTTCTACCATAGGTGGCTTCTGGGAAGGGCTGAGAGAGACCAGTCTATTAGGTGTCTGCATGTTTGTCGGCCATTGAATCGGCTGACTGCAACCTTCTCAAAGCATATAAAGGTATGTTGCAGTTGACAATGTTCATCTATTGTACTCGATAAAGACCCTAACTTCAGTTAGCTTCAGTTGATACAGGTGTGGCTGATCATGTTGCAGTTACCAACTAAATATGATATATGATACACTGTATTGCATTATAAAATATTCAACGGAATATTCACGAGGACTTACTACATGTGTATATTATTTTCCATCATGCCAAAGTGTTCACCATTATCTTACTAGTGGTTATCAACATATAACCAAGTGTTACCTTGTTCTACAGGCAACTACTGCAACCCTGAATGTAGTAAAAGATGGTCAGGTCATCACAGGAAGATGGCACACCCCACGTGGCACTGATACATATGAACAGGTGTTGGTATCCTTTTAAAGATGGGCATATTTTCTGGTTGATGTGTGAAAAGATGCACCAACATAAAGTTGTTTCATTCAATGTACTGGTGAATATATCTAGCTAGGCATATGGTATAGAAATGTTGTTGGATAGACCAGTTCAAAGCTAAGACATTCATGATGATTTGCTCTAAAGAAAGAAGTTGCTGTGGTGCAAGACAACAAAGAAACCTCAAGAATACCCCTTGAATACTCCTTAACCTCTGTGTCTCAGATATTTGACTTTCCAGAACACAGTTTACAGTCTGACAGTGATCAGCACATACATGTTACATTAGACACTGATAGTGGGCTGGTAGGGAGGGAGTGTGTTCTTGGAGCAGGTAAGCAGATAGAAAGTCCTCTATGGTTGTCTTGTTGTTTTTTATGTTAACCAAAGGAAAATATATTGTTTTTGTTCTGTTTGCTCCTCTTCTCCAAACCAAAAAGGTCAATGACCTAAACCAGATGTCTGTCACCATGGTAACTACATTTGTAGTGTTGGGTCACATCATGTTGCAGTTTTATAGCAGGAGGGATTTAGACTCCTGTCTGACCATATGTACAAAATTTAATGTATTTGGGAGCAGACCATATGCGAAGGCAAACATTATGCATTTGCTTTGCAAATATTACCTTTCTAGTTTTCTTTTTTTTTCTGTAAGAATTTCTTATCTATAGTGCATGAATTATAGAATATTACCAGTGAGAGAATATCCTGTGCTGAAGACATTCGTGTGCGCTGTGTGAGATATAAAAAGAAATTTTCTTATTTCCCCACAGGACATTCTGAAGTATTTAGTAGAGACACCACGGAAAGTAAAGAATTGTTCAGGTAAGACAAAGGCTCTACCATGTCTTGACATTGTTATCTTAAGAAATATAGAAGTATTAAGTTGTTGAAGTCAAAATAAGTTGTTGAAGTTGAAAAGTGACCAGTATATAACATCCCAGTACTTTGATCAGTTGGATGAGGTTTGATATTTCTACCCCTGCAGGTCAGAATTGAGTGTAGCCAAGTCTTCTGTCCTCCAACAGGAACTGGAGTCATGCCAGCAGCTACATGAACTTGAACCTGACAACAAATGTAAGATATTATACTGGCCTAACCTTTTGTTTATTTGTTTCGCATAACCGGTAACTGCCTTTTTAGGCATAACACACCAGTTTTGTACATGTAAGTACAAGCTGTGTAAGACCGGACTGTAAGGTTTGAACCACTCACACCGGGAGGGACCTCTACTCTTTTCGATAAGTGCGGTGGGTTCTTTAACGTGCTTGGGGTGTGGCTCTCCCAAACACGGAAACTCCATTTAACGTCCTATCCGAGGGACGTCCCTGACCTGAAGGTACTCATTTACACCAACCAGAGTGAAGTGAGGAAAGCCGTGCCTTTCCCAATGGCACAAGATAAGTGGCATTGGGCAGGATCCGAACCCGGGACTTCTTGGGTCTGACCCCAGCACTCTACCATTACGCCACATGACCCCACTATGTGATTTGTGTATGAAAGTGCCTTAAGTTTTCTTGTCATGTTGTGCTGTACATACTGACTGCCAGGACATTCTTCCAGTGTTACAACTCTTTGCCATGTATCTTCTACAGGGGCCATCTTATCCATAGTACTGCTGATGAGAGCCATCGACCCCGTCACCTACCAGGAGCAGACCCTACAGTACGTGGACAAGCTGACGTCCCTGGATAGTTACAGGAGAAACTACTACACAGACCTCAGTAGCAGATTCCTGATAGAGAACACTGTCATGCAGTCAGAGGAGGGCACCAACAAACTGGACCTGTCTGGAAAGGTAAACACATCTTTGGTTTACTTTTTATGTTTACCGAGGAAAACATATTGTTTTTGCTCTGTTTCCTCTTCTTCTTCTCCAAAAAAATAAGGTCAATGACCCGAACCAGACGTCTGTCACCATGGTAACTAGTGTTGGGTTACATCATGTTGCAATTTTTTAGCAGGAGGGACTCCTGTCACCATATAATGAATGTGTTTGAGTAAGAATTAACTGAGCAGACCGCAAATGTAAAGGTAAACATTATGCATTTGCTTTGCAAATGTCATGAGCCATTACTGAATGCTGATTGTCACTGAAAAAGTTTGTCAGTTTCCTGTCATTATTCTAAATTTGAAAATGATGTATGTCTGAAACTGTTGTCAGGGCCTGACCTGCGTCCGTCACTTGGGTCACATGACCCTGGTGGTCCAGCTGGACCTGTCCAACAACAGGCTGACCTCTCTGGACGTCCCTGTCTACATGCTACAGTGTCTGAAACTCCTGCTGGCCGACAACAACAGCATAGAGAGCATAGCAGGACTCACCAACATGCCTCTACTGGGGAGGGTTTCCCTTAGAAACAACCGTATCCTTTCTTGTTATGGCACTTTATACCCTAGTTGTTGAACAGGTAGACATGTAAACAAGCTACATTGTACATTTTATGTGGTCAGTACTTTTGCCACATCTGTGAAGAAGCATCTTCATTAAAAATACCTATTGCATTTTCCATTGAAAAAGAAACTACTAACTTAAAGAACCTAAAGAATCATGAAAGTTGTAAGGTGTCTAAAATCACAAAGGATGCCACAGAACTTTAAATTTGTTTTGGACACCTAGTAGGATATACAGTTCTGGACACCTAGTAGGATATACAGTTAAACCCACATATCATAGAAGAAGTGGGTAAATTTTTTCTTCCATTGCCTCAAAAGAAGAAGTCAAACCCAGCAAAGCTAGTACCACGTATGTTGTAGAATGTAGTACATGTATAATGTTAGACGTAGTCTCTCATACATTGTATTTTCTTTTTTCATACATGTTGTTTGTACCTGCAATTTAGTCCTCGGGCATGTATTTGCAATAAACTTTCTCTGTAAACGTACAACCTTAACTTGTTCTGTCAGGTATATCTAAGGCACAAGTCCTGGCACCTCTGTCCAGCTGCACCAATGTGTCTGTGCTGGACCTGGAGGGTAACCCTGTGTGCAGTATGGAGGGATTCAACTCTGACATCCGCTCTGGTCTACCACAGATTAAGGTTCTGGATGGGAGCAAAATTTAACCTGAATGAGTTGATATCATATTTGGCCAGCAAAAAGATGGACAAAAGAAGAACTATGATCTGTTTCATGTGAACTGTTTGTTGCCGCATATCTAGAGAGAAGAAAAATCATGAAAAAGGCATCTTGAAAATATCTGTTCTGAAATTATGTCAACTATATTAAGACTTGATTCAATGTTTAAAAATCAACTTTGAAGTTGCCTCACTGCTGCATTTTGTATGATGTACACCTTGCAAAAAAGTCTGTTTACAAATGTTGGATGTCACTCTTTTATGCAATCAATGTTTCAACTGCAGAAATTGTTTATATGTAATTATGTTTATACACCATTATTGTTTTGCTACAAGAAGATATATCTGGCAATCAAAGATGCAACTCAAAAGTGACGAGTATGAAGCCGAAACCTACAAGGAATGATACAAAGCTACAAACAATCTAGATTATAATATGATTGTCTTCAGAAATTGACACCAAACCTTAGTCTGGATATTTATGTTTGCCTGACACTGTTTTAGGTGACCTGTACTACAGGACAGTTGGATCTCCACACAGGCACACATTTGATTTGCCTATTTAAAGGTGGCAAACTAAACAACTTGGTTATTTTCCAAGCAAACATAGCAAAATATACAGTACCTGTAATGCCCTGTGTGTAGTTAAGGCGTGTCTTCACACCTAAAATGGCAGGATGTGTACAATATATTCTCATCGAGTCATTGGAACTTAAACAATGATTCATGAATATTTCTATGTCGCATTTCAGTGGTATATATTGTTCTGCTATGCATCGGATATGTTGATAGCCATTGTCCCAATAAAAGAAATACAACAAAAGTTTTTGTAAACTTAAGTCCATTTTTTGACGTTCCTACAAATGGGAATGTTCTGATAGAAGATACACATTTGTATCAGAGGGACGTACACGTACACATGTTCTTTTCAGTTTGTTTTTAAGGTCTCAATGCTGCTGACTTTGAAGCCTCTATTTTCAACCTTCTTCTTCAACCAGTTGGGACCTGTATGAAAGAAGAAAAAAAACTTGTTCATTCTGAAATATCAGCAAGATTTGTATACACTTAGAAAAGTTCATATTGAGATATGAAGGGTTCTAGGATTAGAAAAGAACAGCCACATCTGAATCCCGATCTGGTACTTCAGGTTTACACTGTGTCATCTTAATATATGACTCCATTATGTCCAGTATTGTCTACCTTAAGCTTCGTACCGATCCTAAGCACTTACATCTGCTCCAGTCTGTCCACAGAACCTCCTGTCCGTGGATGCAGGCTCCCCCGATGACCCAGCAGCCGTACGCCTGGGACCAGGGCTGGCAGCTGGACACTGTGGTCGGCAGAACTGGTGTGGGAGTCGGCGGGACTGGGGCAACCAGAGTACAGACAGGGTCCTGGGGAGGGCAGGGAGCAATGGAGGGTTTGATGCAGATTGTACATGACTTGTATGTTTTCTTGGCCCCACTGCTTGTATGTGATGACATCTTGAATCATCTACATTGTTTACACTTTTCAATAGTTGACATTGTCAGCTATTGAAAAGTGCAAACAATGTAAATGATTCTCACTCAACAACATGATTTTAACTCATGCTTCTCAAGAGAAGTAGTCCATTGTGCAGATATAATGAGATCATTCTGGCTTAGTTATGTGAGGAAAGGTCAAGACAAGCTCGGTAACATGGCAGGATTCGAACCTGGGACCTCTTGGTTCCGCATAAGCTGAATGCTCTGCCGTTACGCCACACGACCCCACTTTGATATGATACTTACCCTGTAAGTTCCACCATAGTTTACCCCATCCTCCTGCGGACAGGCACAGTCCTCAGCTCCGGTACTGAACGTCTCGCCAGGCTCGTACAGCTCACCCTGGTACGAGCACTTGTTACCTGGGGGGAGAAAAAATTTAGTCTTCATTTCTACAACGTCCTTGCTACAACAGAGAAATGTCATTTTTGTTCTAGTTTCTTCAGCATTTTATTTGGAGTGAATGGCACAAAAGTAACTTTCCATCTTGATGTGTTTGAAACTTGTAGATTGATATTGAAAGATGAAGAAAAATATCATCCAAAAGTGCACTGGCACATGCACAAATTTATATAATGTTCAGGGGTCCTTAATGTAGCCCCTTTCTACAACTGCTACATTGACTTACAGTCTCCCCAGTCGTCCCAGGCAATGGCTTCTCCCTCCACACAGAACACTCCGTACTTCCAGCATCCTTCCGAACCCTGGGACTCCTGGCATGGCGGGCGGCCTGGTATTACTGTGGGCACACCCAGGGCACCACTGAGCACACCCAGGGCATCCGGCCGAGGGCGGTTTGGGATGACCGTGGGCAGGCCCAAGGTCCCAACAACACCGAGGCACAGGAGAAAACCGGAGGACAACATTCTGATCTGGTCACCACATGTAGGCTGAACCACACAGAATGATCGTAAGGCGGTCTGATGTTTTAAGGCAGCTGCAAACATTTGCTCTTGGCGCACAAAACGACAGTTTGACGTACGCCCTCGTCGGAATGCCCACGTTAGGTATACAGTACGGCAAACAGCTCATTGATCCTAGACAGGACAACTGTTTACCACTGGCATGAGTAACTTATGACTCAAAACACACTTACAATGCACCTAGAATACACTTAGAATACTGACTTAAAACAAACATAAAACACACCTTAAGCACACTTTTAAAGCCCTTTTACTTAGGGCGTAATCGGTCATTTTAATCACACATAATTTGTAGCCAGGCCATTAAAATGACTCAACAGGATAGAGCGTAATCGGTGTAGTCTACGTAAATCGTTATTAGTAGTTGGATATTTGGATATTATATATATTTAGGCGAAGCGAGCTTCCCCAAATGCAACGTATTATGTAGCGTTTACAATACGGCCTCTAGTCCCCTCAAAACATACCGAATTTTCCCCCAACATTTTTGACCAGCTTTGACATGTCCCTGTATTTCATGGAAGCTTTAAAAACAAACGCGAGTGTGTGTGTAGTGTTCACCATACTAGTGCGTGTTTAACATTGTGCGGATGACGTTCAGCACCAAGGACAGGTACCGTTTGCACGGAAACATGTTGCGAAGTGTGACTGCAAGCCTGGGGCGTAATCGACCCACATAATTCGTAGCTAGACCACTAACATGCTTCAAACACAACGACATAGATATATATATTAGTGCCTGGATTTTCATGTAGGGGGAGTCAGCTTGCCCGAATGCAATCATGTAGCCACTTTCGTTGTGAATTTAGCGTAGAACGTTGACAATACGGCCTCTACTCACCTCAAAAACATGGCAAGGTTAGTTTGGCAAGCCTTTCCAAGTCCCTGTATTTCATGGACGCTCTAAAAGCGAGCGGGCGTGTGTGTGGTGATCACCGTACTATGTTTAACATTGTGCGGATGGCGTTCAGCACCAAGGACAGGCACCGTTTGCATAGAAACGTGTGCTGCGCAGAAATGCGCCGAGGTTGATTGAATTAACCAAGGACATTCTACAAAGCTTCTTGAATTAACAGATTCCGACTGCTACAAGTTAGTTACAAATACTTTTTGCTCCTGACACTGTCTGTTGGAAACAGACTAGTCCAAAAAACGTTATTTTTGAGGGGATTGATTCTTGGTGGTAAAGTAGTTGTGGTTATCAGCAGCTGCAGGATAGAAATTAAAGTCAGCTGTTGTGCGCCCCTGTGTAAAAATCACACGTGGCACGGCCCACTCAATCTTCGTCCGGTTGGTGCCACACAGGGAAGAGAAGGAAGCGTTTGTCAAGTTTTTGGTCAATTTTCGGCTTCTAGTTCCAAAAATATCCATTTTGATGCGTAGAACAAATCCTCGGGGATGTGTCCACGGTGGAGCTGTTCCGTTTTGTGGATTTTTTTGCGAAGAAAATAGGGATTTCCTGGCCTGGTGGATTTTTGGAGGAGACAAGAAAATGGCGCCAAGTACAGTGGAAGGACGGCGTGGTCGTGGGGAGGGCAAGTTTTTGGTAAATTTTTGGCTTCTAGTTCGAAAAACATTCATTCTAATGTATGGAACAAATCCTGGGGATGTTTCCACGGTGGAACTGTGTCGTTTTGTGGATTTTTGGCGAAGAAAATGCGGATTTCCTGGCGTGCTGGATTTTGGAAGAAGACAAGAAAATGGCGCCCGCTGGAAAGACGGCGTGGTGAGGAGAGGGCAGAGTTTTCACAAGGTAAGACACCAAGCTATGTCTACGAATTGATTTACCACAAGCTGATAACAATGCATCACGGTATATTCTTGGTAAATTGGACGGATTTTGAGAATGCAACGGCATACTTTATAGTTTTAGGTACGCTTTTAAAAAAAATTCTTCTGCTTAGGTATTGCCAAGGAGGTTAAATACAAATTTAACCTCGTTATTGGTATTGCTAGCTTTCTGGTTTGATTTTGAAGTGAAAAAAAGGGTGCTACTTTGTTTTTGTATAACTGGTCTAAGTTTGTGCCCTTTGTAAAAAAAAAAACATGGGTAGAATATTTGAGACTTTTCCCCATGGAAAAAATAAACACTAGTAGATAAGAATGTGCATTTTAAAATGCTTATAGCTATTTTAAAACATTACTCTAAGAGTCTTAGTATAGTTTGGCTACATATTTCAGACTGGGATAAAAATGACAAAGTCAGAGCAACACTACTTTAATTTGTTTCTTGGAATTGCTAGCTTTGTTCTTGATTTACAAATATCTAAAGGCGTGTACATGTTACGGTAATATTCTGAAATTCATCACCAACACCAAAATGCTCATTTTTGCACACAGTATGTTTTGCACTGACATTACATATATAGTGGTAAAATTTTCTCAGTCTCTTGATTGACCAGTATAGACATGTTTGACGATAAGTATGTTTTTCCAGCTGTTACAGTTTTCCATTTATCGATTTGATTAAATGTTCAAAATTTATTGTTTGAATTTAAAAAGCAGGCTAGTGTGTTGTCTTTGGTAGCATTAACAGCTTTTAAAGGATACTGAGGCTTGTTTTTTTAAATCTTCAAGAGTGAAGTTCAACCTAATATTTAGTAATAACTATGTCAATTTCAGGAATTTTAGCTATTGCATGGGAATTTCTGTCATGTTGGTACACACACCTGTGTGTTACTGGAAGTAGGTTCATGTGTATTGGGTATCTATTATAGATCAAAATTGTATATCCATGTGTTAAGTTAGTGTAATATTCATGTACATGACAAATTGTGTTTCATTCATTCAACTGCAACTGTACACAGTACCCTTGAGTGTCTACAAATGTGTAGCAAGTCTTGCAAGTTGTTATATGACAAGTCTGATCGACCTTCTTGGTACCATTTTTCTCATCAATAAGTTCTAAATTGTTTACTAGTATTCTTTTCACGGTCGACTGAGTGTTAGCTGCATGTTTTAAACATCACCTTCAGTCATGATTCTTCAAGAATGGCATCAAAAATTTTTAGTCTACAAGTAGTTGTTTGGCTTTGTTCAGTGTTTTTATATGTATTGTGCCAGAAACACGCCTGCTTGGGAATGCACTTCAGGATTGTTCTACTGTAAAAATTAGATGTAAAATTTAGCTGCTGCCTTTTTAAGAACTCTAAATTGTAATTGTTATATAATGTACCCGTAATTATAATTATATATGGCAATTTTTAATAGAGAACGTCTGTATGTCCGATGCACACAGTGACTAGTATATTGTATTTTTGTCTGTCCACCTTGCGTCCTCCTCTTGTTACCTAAACATGAGACAAAGGATTGTCCTAGGTTTTTAGCTATGTATATAATATGTCATTCATCTTGTATGGAATAAAGATGATTTTAACCCCCAATTATATATATCCTGGTGTCGTCTGTGTATGACAGGGCTGTAAGCACCTTGTAACTTACTCTTTTTTCATGCCCTCTTTAGTTCTCTGAGGGTCTGCCAGCTGTGCAGGTGTTCCTGTCCTGATGAGACTTGTGATGACGGATGTACCTGATGATCAGGTGAAGAAAATCAGAACTCTGCATTTTACGTACCATTTACTTGATTATTTGAGACAAGTATGTAACTTGTTATGTTTATAGTTAGGTGGCTGCTGCCTGATTCAGTAGTGAGGATTCCTGTCTGAACCTGACAAGACTGGATTGGACCAGATCAGACCTGGTGATTTGAGGACTCAAAGAAGCATATCAGGTGAGAAAAATCTTAATTCTGCATTTTACGTACCATTTACTTGATTATTTGAGACAAGTATGTAACTTGTTATGTTTGTAGTTACTAATAGGTGGCTGCTGACAGATGCAGTAGTGAGGATTCCTGTCTGTACCTGACAAGACTGGATTGGACCAGATCAGACCTGGTGATTTTGAGGACTCAAAGAAGCATATCAGGTGAGAAAAATCTTAATTCCACATTTTACGCACCATTTACTTGATTATTTGAGACAAGTGTGTAACTTGTTATGTTTGTAGTAGGTGGCTGCTGACTGATGCAGTAGTGAGGATTCCTGTCTGTACCTGACAAGACAGGATTGGACCAGATCAGACCTGGTGATTTGAGGACTCAAAGAAGCATATCAGGTGAGAAAAATCTTAATTCTGCATTTTAGAAGTTCCATTTACTTATATTTGAGACAAGTGTGTAACTGGTTATGTTTGTATACAAGATCTTGGCAAGTTCTTTCTGTTGCTAGGTTATATGTCAGACTTACACTTCAGGGAAATAACACACAGCCTGTAACAGAGGGTCTGCATGCTCTTTTCCGTAAGGCGTAGGCGGGCCTTTTTAATTTCCTGTAATTCGTAGGGAAGTTATTTTATTCACCGTAATTCGTAGTGAGGAGGCGAAAATTTCCCGTAAAGCGTAGCCAGCTCATTTCACGTAAAGCGTAATCGAGCCTTAAAAATCCCCGTAAATCGTAGTCTGGACTCCCATTTTTCGTAAGCCGTAGCGGACGAACCAGCAACCAGCGGATGACCTGTTGGGTCAACGTCGTACCCAGGATTTCTATTGTCTAACCTGGACACGAGAGCACCCATGACATCAGTGGAGTTCTGTGCTATTATTGGTCAGTATTTGCCGGGTGGCGGGAGCACATCTGGAGTCAATCTCAGTCGCATCTTCATCTTGTCTGTCCCTTTCTTGCCTGTCCCATCTGGGTCCATGTGTGCGGTACAATCCCACCATGGCTCACGCGACGCCCGTGATTGTGCGCATGTTTAAAATGCGCGTAGCTAGGGGCACAAGGCTCAAAGGTCCACTTTTTGGTCCTATCCACTTTTTTTTGGTCCACTTTTTATGTAACGGTCCAAGATTTATTTTGAAAAGATGGACTGGAATCGTAGAAAAACTGCTCCCTTTGTCGTTGAATAAAAATTTATCTCTGATTTTTTCTTGTAAATCCTCTAAAAAATGCACGAAATGCCATTCTAGAAGGTTCATTTTTCAACATTTTC